GATCCTTTGCCCATTTTTAATTGGATTGTTTGGTTTTTTGCTATTGAGTTTTGTATATATTTTGGGTATTAATCCCTCATCTGATAGATGATTTGCAAATATTTTCTCACAGTCCAATTCATTCTTTTGGTTTCCTTTGCTGAGCAGAAACTTTTTAATTTGATGTAATCCCACTTGTTTATTTTTGTTCTTGTTGCCTGTGCTTTGGTGTCAAATCCAAAAATATCATCACCAAGACCTATTTCAAGGAGCTCTTCCCCTACATTTTCTTCTAGTAGTTTTACAGTTTCAGGTCTTACGTTTAAATCTTTAATGCATTTTGAGTTGGTTTTTGTATATGATGTAAGATAAGGGTTCTGTTTCTTTGTTTTGCATCTGACTGTCCAGTTTTCCCAACACCATTTATTGAAGAGACTGTCCTTTCCCCATTAAGTATTCTTGGCAGCCTTGTTGAAGATCAGTTGACCATATGTGCATGGGTTTATTTCTGGGTGCTCTATTCTGTTCCATTGGCCTGTGTGTCTGTTCTTATGCTGATTCTGTATTGTTTTATTACTATAGCTTTGTAATAGAGTTTGAAATCGGGGAGCATGATACCTCTGGCTTTGTTCTTCTTTCTCAAGATTGCTTTGGCTATTTGGAGTCTTTTGTGGTTCCATACGAATTTTAGGCTTAGTTGTTCTATTTCTGAGAAAAATGCCTTTGGAATTTTGATAGGCCTTGCATTGAATTTGTAGGTGGCTTTGGGCAGTATGGAGATTTTTCACAATATTAATTCTTCCGATCCAAGAACACACGATATTTTTCCATTTTTTATGTCTTCAATTTCTTTCATCACTGTCTTACAATTTTCAGTGTACAGATCTTTCCTCTCCTTGGTTAAATTTTTTCCTGGGTGTTTTATTCTTTTTGATGTAATTATGAATGAAGTTCTTTTCTTAATTGCCTTTTTGGATAGTTTGTTGTTAGTATAGAAATGCAGCTGACAGTGTCCCATAATTCATGCAGGCTTTCTTCACTGTTTTGTTTATTGTTGTTTTTGTGAGGAAGATTGGCCCTCAGCTAACATCTGTTCCCAATCTTCCTCTTTTTGCTTGAGGAAGATTGTCGCTGAGCTAATACCTATGCCAGTCTTCCTGTATTTTGTATCTGGGACGCCACCACAGCATGGCTTGATGAGTGGTGTGTAGGTCACCACCTGGGATCTAAACCTGCAAACCCTGGGCTGCTAGTGAACTTAAACACTATGCCACTAGGCTGGCCCCTTTTCATTGTTTTTCTTTTTGTTCCTCTAACTGGCTAATTTCATATGACCTGTCTTTGAGTTTGCTGACTCTTCCTTCTGCATGACTGAGTCTACTATTGAGGCTCTCTGTTGAGTTTTCAGTTTTGTCATTGTATTCTTCAGCTCCAGGATTTCTGTTTAGTTCTTTCTTATGGTTTCTGTTTGTTTACTAAACTTGTTATGTTCGTACATTGTTTTCCTGATTTTGTTTTGTTTTCTGTGTTCTCTTGCATTTCATTGAGTTTCTTTAAGATGATTATTTTGAATTCTTTCTCAGGCTATTCGTAGATCTCCATTTCTTTGGAATCAGTTACTAGAGCCTTACTAGTTTCCTTTCACAGTATCATATTTGCCTGATTCTTGTAGCCTTGCTTTGGTATCTGTGCATTTGAAGGAGCAAACACCTCGTCCTGTCTTTACAGACTGGTTTGGCGAGTAAAGACCTTCTCCTCTTGGTTTAGGCTGATAGGATTACCTCTGACATCACAGTCCTGGTGGATTGGAGCCAGGTCGCAAGGCTGCTGCTGGGTCTGCAGTCAAGTGCACAGTTGGGAGAACTTGGGTGGATGTGGATCCTGCCTGCTCCCTGGATGCTCAGGGGATATGGACTGGTGTATCTCCTGGTGGGTCTTCCGGATGGGCAGAACTGCTCATGGACTGGCAGCACAGCTGGGAGGGGCTGGAGCAGAGTCACAGATCTGTTTCAGGATCTGCAGTCAGACCGAGGTTGGCTAGCCTATCTCCAGGGGCATGCCAGGGTAGTTTCCCTGAGGGACCTTTGGCTGGTAGGACAGCTTGTGGACTGTGGCTGGGAGGGGCTGGAGCCCATTTCTAACACCCTTTCAGTATCTACAGTCTGACTGAGTTTGGTGGGCTTGCCTCCGGGGGCTTCTGGACTGTAGCCAAGAGGGGCTGGAGCTGGGTCATGGACCACTTTGGGGTCCACAGCCAGGACTGAGGTCTGTGTACCTAAACCCAGGGCACAGGTGAGTGTGACTCTTTTCCCATGTCCCTTGGTGAGTGATGCTGGTGACAAGACTAAGTCATAGGGGGCTGTAGCCAAGTCCTCAGGGGTATGGGGCTATTTCCAGGTCTGTAGCTGCGACCTCCATTGGCAAGTCAGCTGCCTGGGTGTCGGCCTGCCTCCTCGAAACGACTCTCCTTGGTCTTGGACTGCGCTGGGGTTTCATGTCTCCTACCTAGATCCCACAGTTCCCACAAAGGCCCTCTTGTCCGAGGATGGATGCCAAATTTTTGTTGCTGAGAGGAACACAAGTGGGGATCTCCTATTCCACCCTCTCGCTGATGGCACTCTCTGTCTCTTTGGTTTTCCTGGTTGATTTACAAGAGGAGGAAAGTCCAGTCCCTGTTCTCCATCTTGCCCAGTCGCAGATAACCTCGTGTCTTAGTTAACTGTGGAGACGGGAGCTGTCAGAAGAGCACTTCCACACTCAACACCCCTGAATCTGTCTTCTCTCTGACTCCTCCTCTCCTGTGTTCTCACACCCTTTGCTGTGTCAGGGATCTTCCACATTGGCATATCCTCTCGTGTTAGGTGAAACCTCCCTCGACACGCTGTCTTCCCCCAGCAGAACTCTCCAGACTAATCGTCTGGATCAGCTGTCTCCCTGCCTACCTCCTGTGCCCTCTTGAGCCCCACCCAGGTAGACTGTTGTCCCAGCCACATCACCAGTATTGCCTTTGTCCAGTCTTCAGTGACATGGTGCTGCGAGATCAGTGGGTAATCTGCCTAACTCAGCGTGTCCTTGTGTCTCCCACCGACTCCACGTCCTGCCTCCCCAGTCACATCCTCTCAGTTTTCCTCAGGGGGTTGGAGTGCCTCAGGGTTCAGTCCTGGCCCTCAGCTCTTCCTGCATTGTTGGCTTAATTTCCACCCTTAACCTGAAGAGTCCCAAATATTAGTTTATCCTTGATTATTGCATCAGCATCCTAACTAGGCTCCCTGCTTCCCTCTTTGCCCTCACCATCCGTCTTCAACACAGAATATGGAGCTTTCTCTGAGATGGAAATTGGTTTCCCACCACGTTTAGGTTAGAATTTTCATGTCCTCACTGTGGCCTGCAAGGACCCTGGATCTGACATTCACCCTCCCTGCCTCTGTGGCCTCCTTTCTGACCACAGTCCCCCACTCACTCTCCCAGGCATTCTGGCTTCCCTCCTGGTTCTTTAGGACCCCCTGCCAGACCTGTGCATTTGCTGCACCCCTGCTTAGAATGTACTTCCCACAGACCCTGGACAAGCCTACGCTCTCCTCCATCAGATCTCTGCTCCATGCCGCCTCCGTGCCAAGACCCCTCTGAGCACCCCGTCTGGAGTGGCTCTGTGCATGCCATTCCATGCCCTGGGTCTTATCCCATATGTCAGATTCTCCCTGACGCTGAATGCAGTGTTTACTTACGTGGTTGTTGACTGCCTCTCCCACTGAGAGCAGAAATTTTGCCTCATTGAGGCTGAATAAGCAGTGCTATAGCAATGCATGGCACACAGGAGATGTGCTTAATGAGAATTAAATGGGTGATTAGGAGAGGCCCCTCTGGATGAAGGAGTAAAATCAGGTGGTGGTTTCAAGGGCCATTTCTAGTTTTCAGTCTCATCAAGTCCATTTGTTTGTTTTCTTTTCTTTTGGTGGTTTTGTTTTTTTATAGTGGGGGTGGATTTTGGTAAAGCTCTTCACATAAAACAGACACAAGCTCTCTGTCCTTATTTGTTATAAATGCTCCCACTTTGTCTTTGCTTTTTCATGGTCTTTGACTTTTAAAATAACAAGTATCTTTTTTCAGAAAATTCCACATGTATGATTATGCAGATTTATACAGAAGTGTACAAAATTCTGAGTTCTGAGTGTGTCAGTGCTTTTCCTCTCCTAGTGCCACCTAAAATGGGGTCCTCACCTGGCGTGCAGAGTCCTGGAGAGGGGCAGGGGCCTCACCCCAAACTCCTGCATGGAAGTCCTGCTCCTGCTACGTACAGAGTCTGGCGGTGCCCAGGCCTTCCCCTGAGCTCGCTTATACTGTCCTAGAGGCCCCAGGGCCATGACAGGTGCTTCGTGTGACACACGTGGACTGTGCCATCCAGCATCTTAGGGGAAGTCTCCTCTAGAGTCTAGTCGCAGCTTCTATTTCCTCTTGAGGGTCTGCTTATTTAGTATTTTCCAGTAGGATCTCTTTAACGCCACAATTTCTTACTGTAACTGACTGCCTGGAAATTTAAAGACAAGTTTATAAAGCCCTGGGGCAGAAACTGCATAGTCCTTAGGGCCTGGTATTTATGATCCCAGCCTTGATTTTTTGGCCTGTATTTATTATTTCCTTATTTTGATTTTTTCCTTTGTATTTTATTATTGTTTTAGTATCTGTGTTCTTGTAGGCTACTTGAAAATCCTTTTTGAATTGAGGCAACACATTAAGTAAGCTTACACTCATTTCGTGATAAAAAGCACCTGCGAAACTTTGCTAATCTTACTTCTCAGATTATTTTTTGAAAGTGTTTTTGTTTGGGGAACAGGAGTTTTTTTGAGTTTTTTTGCTTATGATTTCTCTTTTTTTAGTAGCTAAAATAGCATTTTTCTTATGTTCTCTATACACTATGTAGATGAGTTAATATGTATATTGAGAATATTAGACTTGCCTTACTGAATCATCTGCTGGGTAAATTTTAAGCCGTTTTTCCTCAGTTGAGTATTACTTTTCTGTAGGAGGAAATGAGTCTCAACCAGAAAGCCAGGAAGACCCTCGAGAAGTACTTAAAAAAACATTGGAATTCTGCTTATCTAGGTAAGGACGGTAGTAGTTTTTCTAGTACCTAATAATCTGTGTTGTTCTGCATTGGTTATTGTTTACAGATGTGGCACTTTACTTAGCAATGTGTGTCTGTTAATATCTATGTCTGTATACATCTATTAATAGGAAATCCAGAATGTTGAGTAGTAATTACCTTTGACATGTTGGAGAACTGAACATAATCCTCTGGACCAGTGTTCCCCACAGTTGTCCACAGATTCATCTTCACCATTATCTGGGCTGCTTTATGAAGTTTGGATTCCTATGCCCCACCGCCTGCCCATGGAATCAGACTCTGGGGGTGGAACCTTTGGTCATCAATCTCACAGAGACATTTTTAGCACACTAAAGTTGGAGAACAAGTTTCCTATACTAGTTCTCAAAAAATGCCAAAACTGCAGTAGCAAATTGTTTTATTTATATAGCACTCATATTTTTAGGGTTTTTTTCCTGAATACCTTTTCTATTGAAAAATAGAGTACAACCTTTAGAGTTCAAATGACAGAACTGGACATGCAAGATGGGATAAGGTTACATGTAGTTTTCTTTGACTATGAAGATAACCGAACAGCTATGTGTGAAGTTTTCTACCAATAGTGGTGATTTTTCAGGTTTTTATCTGGGCCTGCCTTAAGACCTCACAGAGGTGTCTGATGAGGGCTGCCTCAGAGACAATAGGGCTGCGTGAGGGAGAGCTGAGGGTTGTGCGCTGGCCTTCCTTCCACGTCCATATATTCACAAGTTAGGAAACCCCATACACTGCATGATGATATGCTTTAAAAGGAGAAGATGGTGCTGCAAATGTTGAAAACCTAGTCTGCACCACTCGCAAACCCTGCTCTGTCGCTCCTCTGGCCAGAAGCCTCATATGTGCAAGATGGCTAACCAAGATGAGGGGGACAGAACAGCGTTTACCTTTGCAAATCAGTGGCTTTATGCAGCTTTGCAATTGTCATCAGCCTTCAGCACAGGACCAGTGAAACCCAGAGTTTAATTGTGTCTGGCTTAGAGATGTTTTTGAGCATAATGTCCTCTTTATGAAAACATTCATCATAGGCCAGAATACCAGGAAGTAGCTCATCATCACTAAACTACTGATTATGTGTGGCTTACCTTGTGACCCTGTGGGTTATGTTACTGATCATGTTTCCTTCTTTTTAATCCTGGCTGCTAAAAAGTGCTAGGAAGCCAGAGTTGGATTTGCAGCTTCTCTGGCAAGTGTCCAGACTGAACAGCACATACTGGGGACCAACCTTTCCCAGGCTTTTCATATTTTTCTTACTTTCTTATTCTTTCAGATGGATCTCCTTACTTCAAAAATTGTGTTTATGTTTTTAATAAGCTACTCAAACATTTTTTAGAACAGAGAAAAGCTATGAATACGTTTTTTAAAGATTTACCTGCTAATTAATTTTGATTATATAAAGTGCAGTAGCATACTTTTACTTTTGCTCTCTCCACCTGCCAAAATGTCCCTGAAAAAAATTTACGTCCAGTCATAGAGATGGCAAATACCAGGTAGAGTTTGAACTCAGATCTAATTCTGAAGCCATACCATGCTACACTTGTATGTCTTGCGAAGCTTCCTTTTAAAGAAGTCTTAATTAAGAGAGATTGTCTTCTTTCTGCAGGGAGAACCTTGCTAGTGACATGTACCTTATATCGCAGATGGACAGTGATCAGTACGTGCCAATCACCACGGTAGCTAACCTGGACCACATCAAGAAGCTCAGCACCGACATGGACTTGATTGTCGAAGTGCTGAGATGTAAGTAAACAGCAGTTAGCTCAATCGTACCTGGTCTTGACGCCATTTGCCTCCCGGGTGCGACCTTTAGATGCACACCATTCAGTGCTCAGGCGCTCAATGGCAAGTGGAGCCTTCCCGGGCCTTCTGAGCCTTGCCGACGAGTCCCATGTCTGGTGAGCGCCCATGGCATTGGGGCGCTGATGGGCTCCCTAACCGAGACCTCAGTGCATCCCAGCTGTATGTCATGGGAACTGAAAAGGGTAACGGCAAGATTAAAGACAGCTGTGATGTTAATGAAAAAGTAATGGTATTTAGGGTAAAGTAGAATGCGTTTTAATTGGTAGTCTAGTCACTAAATGAGTTTCTTTCAAATTGCAACTTCCTGCTGAAATTTTGGTGAAATATTATTGCATTTTTCCTTAAAAGGATATTGTGAATGAAGTTGTTTCTTGGACATTTGGTAACATCAAAGGAAGGTTTAAACCTTACATCAGAGACCCACAGGGATTCAGGAAATGTGGATATTTAAAGTGTTAGCTGCTGTGTCACAAGTGTACTTTGCTCGTACCCTGGTTTGCTTTGCAGATTGAAGCTTCTACAACCTATCCATTTTATTTATTTATTTATTTTTGAAAAGCCACTTCCCTGAGGTATAATTGGCATGGTGAACATGTGTTTCAAGTGTACCTTGGGTCAGTTTGGACCTGTGTATACATTGGTGGGCTGTTCATCACATCACGGTCAGGATTACGAGCACATTCACCACTGCCCAGAGTTTCCTATGCCCCTTCCACCTGCGATGGCTTCACTGGGGATTAGTTTTATATTGAATGTATGATATATTGCATTTCTTTTTAAATGGGGTTGGTTTTAATGATGGAAATTCACTTTTTATAATAGGGCTGCAAGTAGCAGGTGAATTATTTCTCCCTCCTCAGAACTGCTCTACTGAGCAAGTCCAGTGGGTGCCCTTCACAAAGAACAGTGTGACGTGTGCTGGCCCCGTTCCCCCCCATGCTGCCTAAATATTTCCAAATGATGAGATGTTGCATGCCCGAGTTAAAGCCTCGTTTCTCTGTTCACGACCATGACTTTGCCTCACTGATGCTTAGGCAGAAGCGTTCACATGTTCTCCCTGGCTCAGCTGACTGCTGACAGTCAGGGAAGATTTTTTTCTTGTGTGCATTTGACTTAATGGTAGTAGAAAAAGATGAACATCTTACCCTAGAACTTAGTTGGATTTTCTTTTCATGAATAAAAGTTCTCCTCTGTTTTCTGTTCCTAGGCATATGTTGTAAGGTCATTAAATTATTGAACCAGATGCTAAACATAGCAGGTATAATCCATAAAGTTTGATTTCTAAAAATTATACCACCGTTTCCCAAGATCTTGTTATACTTTCCCATGTTGCTTTGTTTTTTGGAGTCCATTTAGAACAGAAACCTATTTTATGTATGAGTTGAGTTTGGTTCCATCTGACCCACATAAAGGCCAGTGGCTTTCTTAACCTAAAAACACTTTACTCTGTTAACAGTCTGTGGTTATTATTAGGAATCCCAGCTTTGGTTATTCCTTTTAGGTATTCCTTGGAAACTTGGCTGCCCCACTGAGGATAATTTCTCAGTTGATGCTTGTTTTGTTGGTGAGGGGTCATTCGTGCAGGCTCTGAGGATGTTTAATTGCCCTGTGTGTTTGCTTTAAAGGAGCCGTTGCTCCCATGGACAGCCCTGTAACTCTCCACTCCAGCTCCACCTGTCCTTTTCCAGGGCTGTGTTTGGGGAGTTCTTGAGTTGTAGTGTTATCTTCTGTCCATTTGTTATTCAGTTCTTTGGTGTCTAATTGTCTCTTTTCTCTCAATCTTTGAACAAAAATATATGCATATGTGAACAGACTATAGTTAACATAGTGTTAGTTGCAGTTCTGAAGAGGGTGACATAAATAAGCCTCTGTGAGCAGAGATCTCTTCTTAAATTTAAATCTTATCCTCATCCCCAAAATGCCTAACATAGAGTCAGACACATAGTAGACATCTGATAACATTTTATTTTAATTTGGATGTCCCTTACTACAACACTGAGACTCACAGGTTAATTGAGTTACATAAATTACATTTTTAGAGTATTTTCATATCATACATATAGTGCATGACATAGTATATCTGATTCAAATTCTTTGTTTTTACACTTAATATAATTGAAATGCTAATTTAAAAAAAACGCTAAAATATTTGTCACCAGAGTATGAATAAATACATTGTGATGTAGCCACACAGTGAATACTAGAGCAGTTAAAATTAACTAGATGTACATTTTTCAGTAAGAATACGTTTAAAATCATAACATTGAATATAAAAGCATATTTTAAATAGCACAAGATGATACCACTTATGTAAAGTTTAGGTATGTGTAAGAACCATATTTTTATGGATTCGGAGGTCCAGGGTAAGAGTATAAAACCACGAATAGGATTGAAACTCCTGATTCAATGTGACTGTTGTGGGTGGCTGGACTGGGCAGGGAGGAGAGGGACAGAGGGTTTCTCGAATACCCGTTTTTTGGTTTGTTTTACAGCTTTATTTAAGTAGAATTTGCATGCCGTAAGTTACACGTGGTTTAAGTGTACATTTGTAAGTTTTGGCATATTTATACACCCACAGAGCTACCACAATCAAGATAGTGAACATATCCATCACCCCCTAAGAGTTTTCTACCTCCCCAGACAACCACTCATCTGCTTTTGGTCACTATAGATTAGTTTGCATTTTCTAGAAATTTTATATAAATGGAATCAGTCATGCAGTATCCCTTTTTTTTGGTCTGGTTTCTTTCACTTAGCATAATTATTTTGTTGTTGAGTGTATCAGTAGATCATTGCTTTTTATTGCTGAGTAGTATTCCATTGAGTAGATACACCACAGTTGGTTTATTCACCCCTTAGTTGATAGACATGTAAGTTATTGTAGGTCTTGCCTACTACAGAGAAAGTTGCCGTGAACCATTGTGTAGGTCTCTATGTGGACAAATCTTCCATTTCTCTCGAGTCAGTAGCTGAGAGTGCAGTGTCTGTATAGTGTGATAGGTGTACGTTAGCTTGTGAAACTGCCAACCTGTTCCCAGAGTGGTCGTACCATCTCACAGTGCACGTCACCCACAGAGAGGCAAGCTCCCTTGTTCCCAGCTTTGCCAACACTTGACATGACAGACATTCTAGTTTTAGATTTTCTAATAGGCCTGTGTGGTTATCTCACTGTGGTTTTAATTTCTGTTTCCCTAATGCCTGCTAACATCAAGTAGTCATTTCATGGGCTTATTTGCCCTCTTTTTATTTTTGCTTAAGTGTCCCTTCAGGTGCCTCCCTGCCCCTGCCACTTTTTTATTTGTTTTCTTACAATTGAGATTTGAGAGGTGTGTGTGTATAGCTTCAGATATGTATTATCTGTATTCTGGATATAAGTCCTTATCAGATATGTGATTTGCAAATACATTCACCCAGTCTGTGGCTTCTCTTTTTATTCTCTTAATAGTATCTTCTGAAAAGCAGAGTTTTGAATTTTTTATATAGTCCAGTTTATTAATTTTTTTCTTTTATGGATCTTGCTTTTGGTGTTGTGTCTGAGAAATCTTTGCTTAATCCAAAATCACAAAGATTTTCTCTTAGAAGTTGTGTAGTTTTAGGGCTCACATATTTAAGTGTGTGATCCATTTTTAGGTAATTTTTGTAGGTGGTCTGATATTCAGGGCCTCTAAGGGGCCTCTAAGTTCACCGCCCCTCGTGTGGGGATACTCACTGCTTCAGCACCATTTGTTGAAAAGGCTCTTCTTTCTCCACTGCCTGGTCAGAATCGTTTGTCCCTACACATGTGGGTTCATCTCTGGGCCGTGTGTCTGTCCTTGATCTGCTTGTACTGGCTTTGATGCCAGTACTACAGTGTCTTGATTATTCTGGCTTTACAGTAAGTCTTAAAGTAGGTGCAAAATCTTCAACTTTGTCTTGGCTCTTCTAAATGCTTTGCATTTCCATATGAAATTTAGAATTCTAGTTGGGTGCTAGTATGTAGGAATGAATTGATGTTTGTATATTGATCTTGTATACTAAAACCTTGCTAAGGTCATCAGTTCTAGGTTTTTTATGGAAATTGTATCAGATTTTGTGCATAGAGATAAGCTTGTTGTCTATGAATGAAGAGGTTTCCCTCCTTATACCCAGTCTGGGCACATTTAATTTCTATTTCTTGCATTATGCCCTGGCTTCACCCTGAGCACGGTGGTAGATAGAAATGGGGAGAGTCAACATCCTTGCCTTGTCCAGTCTCCAGGCAAGTGTGATGCTCGGTGTTGGTTTTTCATAGGTGAGGAGGTTTCCCTCCCGTTCCTGAGTTTGCTGAGACTTTTTATCAGGAATAAAAGTTGGATTTTGTCAAATACTCTCTCTGCGTCTATTAGAAATCATATGGTCTTTTGCTTTGTAGTCCGTTAATATGGTGAATTACATTGCTTAATTTTCGGTTGGTAAACCAGCCTTGCATTACTGAGAAAAAACCCACTTGTCCTTATTTGTTATCATTTTTATATATTGTTGGATTCAATTTGGCAAGCTCTGGTAAGAATTTTTAATGTTCTTGAGGGACATTGGCCTACAGTTTTCTTTTTCTTAATGTCGTTGTTTAGTTTGGGTATCAGAGAACTGCTGGCTTCGCAGGTTGAATTGGACAGTACTCTCTTAGGTATTTTGAAAGAGTTTGTACTGTAGAATTGGTATTTATTTTTTCCTTGAATATTTGGTAGGATTCTCCAGAAACCGTTTGGCCTTGAGTTTTCTTTTCTCTCATATGTCTTGGTCTATTCTGGTGACCTCCTTCTTGGAGTGAGCTTTGGTCATGTATGCCTTTTAAGGAATTCTTCTGTTTCTTGTAAGTTGTCTAATTTATTAGCATGAACTTTTTCTCACTATTCTCTTAGGATCCTTTTAATATAAGTATAACCTGTGGCAAAGTTACATCTTTCATTCCTGATGTTGGTAACGTGTGTCTTTGAAGTGGTGGACACATCTGAGCCCTGATTGTGATGATGATGTGCTGTGACTTGAATCTACACATGATATAGTTTCACAGACGTGACACCAAAAACCAAAACATAACAAAAAGGGAATGCACATAAAGACTGATGAAATCTGAATTAGGCGTGTCCCTGTGTTAGCAGTCTTGCCCCAACGCCAGCCTTCTCGTTTTGACAGTGGACTATGATGCTGTAAGATGTTGTCATTAGGGAAAGCTGGGTGAAGGGTACATGGCAACTTCCTGTGAGTGCAAAATAAAGTCATAATAAGACAGAAGATTATAGAAAGGAGAAAGCCGTTAACCCTGAATCTTAATCTACTTTTAGTTCTTTGAGCTGTTTACAATTTTTGTTTCATAGTATGAACATTTGTTACAGCTCTTACAGAATTTTTTTTTTTTAAGATTTTATTTTTTCCTTTTTTTCCGCAAAGCCCCCCGTACATAGTTGTATATTCTTCGTTGCGGGTCCTTCTAGTTGTGGCATGTGGGACGCTGCCTCAGCATGGTTTGACGAGCAGTGCCATGTCTGCACCCAGGATTTGAACCAACAAAACACTGGGCTGCCTGCAGTGGAGTGCGTGAACTTAACCACCCGGCCACGGGGCACAGAATTTTTTAAGTTCCCATGTTCCTGAGTTTTGGAAATGTAACATGAAAGATTGGTTTAAAACTTCTGGATAGTTTTCCTATTGTATACAGGTTTCTTTAGTGTGACACATCCTGCTGGAGTATCTATGTTATATCATAATAGAATACAAGTGGTCGATTTGTTTTAACATTTGTTTTTTACCATTCATTTTTCTTCTCTTTATAGCTTTACCTTTAGTCCAAGTGGATGAGAAGGGAGAAAAAGTAAGGCCGAATCAAAATCGTTGTATAGTAATACTGCGGGAGATCCCCGAGTCCACCCCTGTAGAAGTAAGTCGTTTCTCCTCTGAAGGACACGTGGGCACTTCTGTGTGGGCTTTTTGTTTTGATTTTTTTCTTACTTCTGTGTTTTTTGGAGAGCATATTTTAAAGGATAAATACCTGCAGTAACAGTTTTTCCTAGATTTATGCACTCTGATAGTTACATTGTGATTCGTTTTTAAGAGTGCTTCTCAAACTTTTTGGTCTCAGGACTCCATTACACACTGTACAGTAAAAAAATAGAGTTTATGATAATTTCATTATTCAGAAATTAAAAGTAAGAAAATGTTTAAATATTCATTTAAAAATAGACATAAACTCACAAGTTAAGATAAAAATCGCATCTTTATGCTAAATGACTTTTCAATACAAATGTTTTCATGACAAGAGGGGCACTGTAAAGAGTTCACGCCAGTGTAGCTTGTGCTTGACTCGAGCTGCCTCAGTGTAAATGTTGTTACAGTAAAGAGGCAAAGACATCTTTTTTTTGTAAATGGAGTCTGGAGATCATAATTTGAGAACTGCTAACTTAGGTGATGATTTTAGGAAACCACAGTATTTGCTAGCTTGAGTTGCGGAAAGTAATCTGCCTTATTGCACTGCTGTGAGACCTGCTACTTGTCCAGATGCTTAAACTAAGTGCGTTGTGTCATAATGCACACTGATAGCCACGCCTTGAAATAATAAAGGGCAGTCTTCATGTAGAGCACCAATATCACTTACTCATGCTGTATGCTTTCTAAGTACCTTCTCTGTAGAGGAAATAGATTAGTGCATCTGCAGGTTTATTAAGGGCAGTTCTTGGTGGAGTGTGACAAAGGTGAGGTTCCAGCAAGAAATTACATCATTCTTTTTTGTTTTTTCTTTTTGAGGAAGATTAGCCCTGAGCTAACATCTGCCACTAATCCTCCTCTTTTTGCTGAGGAAGATTGGCCCTGAGCTAACATCTGAGCCAGTCTTCTCTATTTTGTATGTCAGATGCCTGCCACAGAATGGCTTGATAAGCCAGTGTGTAGGTTCATACCCAGGATCCAAACTGGCAAACCCCAGGTCACTGAACCAGAGTGTTCAAACTTAACCACTATGCCACCAGGCCAGCCCCCAGAAATTACATCATTCTTGAGCATGGCCTTCCTAGCAAGTTTTACTTTCCTTTCAACTTGGGCTATTTTTACTAGTTCTGTTGTAATATGTAAAGAAAAGAAAAATTAGGGGGCCGGCCTGGTGGCGCAGCGGTTAAGTTTGCACATTCTGCTTCTCGGCAGCCCGGGGTTTGCCAGTTCGGATCCCGGCTGCAGGCATGCTACTGCTTGGCAAAAGCCATGCTGTGGTAGGCGTCCTGCGTATAAAGTAGAGGAAGATGGGCATGGATGTTAGCTCAGAGCCAGTCTTCCTCAGCAAAAAGAGGAGGATTGGCAGTAGTTAGCTCAGGGCTAATCTTCCACAAAAAAAAAAAATTAGGGTTGTATTTTTTTCCTCATCTTTTAATTAAGGTTCTGAATATGAAGGATCAGCGTATTTCTTATTACTAATCTGGATGTCTTTATTAACTCACAATAATATTTAAAACATAAGTCCTGAGTTTCAAGACTCGAGACATTTGTAAAGACTACAACCAAGAAGAATTTTCTAATTTTAGCTGCAGACATTGATCTTGGTATATTTCTCTAATTCCAAATTGCACACCGTATATCTGTTGTAAAACTTGAACAATGAGAGTCTTAGGAGAGAAGGTTTAGAGGAAGCTCTATGGATAAATTAAAAGTTGAACAAAAAAGGAAGGTTGGGGGGAAGTGGTCCCAACCGGCGTGAATAAGAAAAGGACAGTAAGATCCTGAACACCGTATGGTGGAGAGCCCTTCTGCTGGGGCTGGGACTGTCGGCTGGGAGTCTTCAGGAAGTCCTTCTCTTTAAATGTGACCAAGTGCTCGTCAGTGACTAGAAAATTCTTTAAATCATAGTTCATTTAGTTAATTCCTTTGGTAATTTTTGAGGTGTAACTGGCTAGTAGGCCTTTATGAAACAACCCTATTTTTGTCCTGGAATTGCTTTGTCTGGTATTCACGTAGCCACTCCAGCTTTCTTTGATAGATGTCAGCGTGGTGGGTCTTTTCCAGTCGTTTACCTTTGACCCTTTTGTGTCTTGATATTTAGAGTGGGCTTTCGGTAAGCAGCCTAGGGGTCTTGCTTTTCCTACCTAATCTGAATATCTCTGCCTTTTACTTGGGGAGTTTAGACCACTCCCATTTACGTGATTCATAACGTGTTGTTTAGTTCATCCTGCTGCTTGCTTTCTATTCATCTCTACTGTTGTTCGTTTTCTTTCCTTTTCCCCCTCTTTCTTTTGAATTAAATGTGTATTTTTTTATCTTTTTTTGGCTTATTAGATATAACTCTTTGTTTTGTTTCGTTTTGTTTTAGTGGTTGCTTTAGGGTTTGTAGTTGACATCCTTAATTTATCAAAGTCTGCCCTTTATTAATATAATACCCCTTTTCACCATTTAAAAGTTCCTTCCTGTTTTCCTTATCTGGCCTTTGTGCTATTGTTATACATTTTAATTCTGCGTAGTCATAAACACAATATTTTGTTATGTTTGCTTTAAACAAGTTGATTTTCTTTTAAAGAGATTAAAAATAAGAAAAAATGTATTATATTTATTCACTATTTACCATTTACAGTGCTTTTCATTCCTTTGCCTAGTTCTAGACTTCCATCTGGCATCATTTCTGCCTGAATATTCCTTTAATATTTCTTGTGGTGCAGGTCTACTGGTAATGCATTTTTACAATTTTTGTATGTTTGAGAAAATCTTTATTTTACCTTCATTTATGAAAGATGTTTTCACTGGGTGCAGAATTCTGGATTGACAGGATTTTTTTCTTTCTGTATTTTAAAGCGATTGTTCTACTCTGTCCCGGTGCACATTGTTTCTGAGGCTCAGTCTGCCCTTTTTATTGCTGCCTTGAAGATTCTGGCATTGTTGTTAAGCAGTTTGATTGCAATGCACCTTGTTGTAGCTTTCGAGTTTCTTGTACTTAAAGATCCCTGATCCATTATCTCTCAAATATTTTTTCTCTTCTCTCTTCTTTTCCCTTTTCTGAAGGTCTCTAACTAGCTGTTAATCCTATTTAGTGTATTTTTCATCTCAGACATTGTATTTTTCATCTCCAGAAGTTCAGTTTGGTTCTTTTTTTTAAAATCTTCCATGTCTCTATTTAACATGCTCAGTCTTTTACCTCTTTGAATATAGAATATTTCCAGTAACTTTTAATGTCCTTGCCTACTGATTCCATTGTCTGTATCATTTCTTAATCTCATTTGATTGATTGGTTTTTCTCTTATAGGTCATATTTTTCCTTTTCTTTGCATGCCTGGTGAATTTTGAATGGATGCCTAGCATTTTGGATTTTACTTTATTGGATACTGAATGGTTTTGTATTTCTTCCTATAAGTATTCTTCAGCTTTGTTTTGAGGTTTAGTTAAGTGACTTGGGGCCCATTTGATCATCACTGAAGGAGCATTTGTTAGGTGCAGTAGAGCTGCCTTTGCAGCTGGACCCATCTTCCCCACACTGAGGCACTGTCCTTTGAGTGCTCAGCCTGAGGGCTGTGAATTAGGAACCTTTTCCACTCTGCCTGGTGGGGAGACACACAGCCCTGTCCCGTGAGCTCTGGGGTGTTCCCTCTAGTCATTTCGGGTAGCTGTTTCCTGCACACTGAGCCTGGGGAGACCCCAAGAGCTCTGGCGTTGTTGGGCTGGGCCTGTGCTCACCCTCCTGGCACTGCAGTCTGGAAACTTCAGGCATGAACTGGGTGTTCGCAGGCTCTCCTCCCGTGTCCCTCTCAGGGATTGTGTCCTACACGTGAGGGCCACTGTCTGAAAAATGGTATTTCATATATTTTGTCTTTTGTTTTTAATTGTCTCATGTGGGAGGGTAAATCTGGTCTACCTTGGCCAGAAGCAAAAGTCCAGCTAATTTTTAAATTCCTTAAATTACCTTCCTCCCCGCCCCCCAAATTGTGTAGTTATCAGCCTACTGTGTAAAATGAAATGATATTTTCACATTAATTTAGCTTAATGGTCTCTTGGTAGTAGGGAATTTGTGGACTTATTTCTCCTGTGGCAGTGGGATCCTAAATCTGGAAGCTACACTGAACTCCTTAGCTGTTTTGAAAGAGGTTTGCTAGACATCAGTGTGTTGGACTCTGTCTAAGGATCTGTCCTTAAGAGTGTGCATCATTTTTATTTGGTGACGACAAAAGGTGGCATAGTGGAGAATTAATTTCTAATTAATTTCTCTTTTTCTGTAGGAAGTAGAAGCACTATTTAAAGGAGCTAATTTACCGAAATTTATAAACTGTGAATTTGCCTATAATGATAATTGGTTTATTACATTTGAAACAGAAGCTGATGCACAGCAGGTAAGCTGTTTCTACTATTCCCCATGAAGTACAGAGTTCACGATACCTAACAGTTAGTACATAGTGAGACTAAATTTGGGCGTTGAATTACTATTGCATTTTAGTGTTGTTTGAATATATAAAATGCAGAGGAAATCAAGTTATAGAAACTTAGATAGATGTGTTTGTGTAGACAGTTTCTGTAGCAATATGAAAAGTATGTGACATTATTTTCTGAGGCCATGTAAGATAAGCAGCCTGGGAAAATGAGTTCGGTTCTTATATCTGGACAGAGAAAGGTTTTAATATTTGGAAAGTGTTTTGGGAAATTTGAACTTAACCTTAACTTGCACTAGGCATCATCGTGTTACAAAATGCTTGAAAAGACACTGAGAAACCCTATGAGGAGACACAGCAGTTAGGATGGTTTCCCTGCCCTTAAAGAAAGAATCTTCTTTGGGGGAAACATTAGCATGTGTGAAGGAATCCCAGTATAGGATTAAGTCTTAAATAGTGTGAATGCTATGGGTTCAGAAGAGAGAGACAAAAATCTGAACTATGGGTTTTAAGTGGATGGAAGGGAAGAGAGGGACTAGGAGGAGCCCGGCGATGGGGAGGACGTGTGTCTGCAGCAGGTGCAAGCCCTCTGCCCAGTGTGGCCTGCAGTGCGCTGAGGCCGAGTCAGGAGGTTCAGAGCCTTCAGAGTCTCGTAGGACAATTTGGAAAAGAATAAGGAGCTACGTAAATAATGACTTTTGAATATTGCAATCATAATCTTTTCCTTTCCTAAACTGTGTAATTCCAGTTTCAAATTTAGGTTATTGCTAGGAGCCCAGTAGCCCTTGTTTTCCCATAGGTCAGGATCCTTAGACTATGGTCTATGGGGAGCTTTTATAGTATCTATTAATGCTTATAAAATTGTATACAAATGTTGTTTAGGAGAATTTTGGTTAGAGGGTACATAGCTCTTATCAGGTTCTTTTGAGGAATCTGTCACCCGAAGAAGGTTAAGGATCACTGCTGTAGGTCCTGTCCACCATATTTTAACTTTGCAGTTCCTTGTTTGAGATACTGTCAGTTCATCTTATTTATAAAATTAACACAATGGTATTTTGGATGATTTTGCCCTCAGGCTTACAAATATTTGCGAGAAGAAGTGAAAACTTTTCAAGGAAAACCAATTAAGGTAAGCAAGACCATTGGTTATACTTGCTTTATTTGCAAATCAGTTTTCTTAAGTATCTAATAGAAACTCACATATTTTCAAACAGGCACGGATAAAAGCAAAGGCAATAGCTATAAACACATTTTTGCCAAAGAACGGATTCAGACCTCTGGACATGAGCCTTTACACGCAGCAGCGATACACGGCCTCCTTTTACTTACCTCCGGTCTACGGCCCCCAGCAGCAGTTCCCTCTCTACAGCCTGATCGCCCCTCAGACGTGGTCGGCAGCGCACAGCTATCTCGACCCACCCCTGGTGAGTTTTGTCTTTACGTGGAGCTCATGTAGCAGCAAGTTACATTGTGGACGCTGCACTAGGTGCTTTGAAGGATGAGGGGGTCTTCGTCTCATGGGGGAACCAGATACGCGTGCCCATTGCCATAGTAAAACAGACCTTCACCTTCTGTGGTGGATTTTAAATTTAACTGGGAGGTAAATATGGAGCACTGTGTACACTAACAAACCTTCAAATTGTGTCATCTCAGTCCTTTGCCCAGTTCACCTCCCCTCCTGTCTAGCATTTCCTTTCTTAAGCTAGTAAAACACCACATGTGCTACAACTCTGGGATAGCTGGGGTACTTGTGAGCGCAGAGGGAAGTGCAAGGGGAGATGGTCCTAAGGAGAAAGAGGTGTTTTAATAGGCTTTTAACAGTCGAAGACAGGTAGAAGACACGCTCTTAAAAGCTCTATTTTTTACACCAGCCCTAGAGTTGATGGGCATGGTTAATTTTTACAGATTTCAGCCTGTCTTAAGGCCTATGGTTGGAAACAGGTATGCTGCTGTAGATGTTAAAGAGATGCCCTGGCTTGGACTTGGCATGAGTTGATGAAGTGGGACGTGAGAATCAGGGCTAATCTGTGGTCATTCAGCTCCTACCTGGGAGGATAGGGATGGGCTGATGGATGGAGCCTTGCTTGAGGCTGCAAAGCAGGAGTATCTGGAACCAGAGGTGGTAGGAGAGACCATGGGGGGGACTGTGGTCAGAAAGCAGGAATCAAGTTAACAAATCTGAGGATATGGCTGCGGACCACGTCAGGGAAAGTTGGACTGATCTCCCCTGTGCAGTGCTCTGGTCATCGTGGGGAGTGAGGGAGATGCCGTGAGTTGAGCCTCGTCATGTGAGGATATCACCTGAGGCTCTCTCACCCCTGAAGGGTGGAAAGAGGGTGGTAACAAGAAGGGTGGCTTGAGAGAAGGAGCGCTGGGATGGCTGTGCCTGTTATCCACTGGAGTGTAAAGATGGGCGTCCATGAGAGAACACACAGTCTGGAAAAGACTAGTGTGTCAAGCAGGCAGTCATCACATAAATAGGACATAAGCACAGTACCATTAGGCGTTTACCAGGGATCACGTTGTTGTCTAAGTGGAGCTTATTAGAAGGGGTGGGAGAGAAGGAAGCTGCCTGCAAGAAGGCGGCATGGCAGAGGTCCTTGGGGTGACTTTGTGGAGAGGAGGCTGGTGAGTTCTCTCAGGGCCAGACTGTCCAGGTTCTTAAATGTGGGCTGAGGCTTGTGAACTCACCTCTGGTGCTTGAGGGACGTGAGAAGGACAGCCAGGAAAGAAAGATGAGTCAGGAGATCCTGAGGGGTGCAGAGCTCCTCAAAAGTGAAAGACAGCTAGCAGACAAGTGCTGACATTCACGATTGTTTCTCTTTCTTTCGAGTGAATCATAATGGGAAGAAAATGTACTACTTTTTTGAAATACTACATTCTGTAAAAGTGTACCTATAGCCGTATAGTTAGTATATCAAGAGAGAACGTTAAACTCTTGGGTTGAATAATTTATCCAGAGGAGGGTGACCACTATGCCTGTGCTATTTGGTTCTTCTTGAATTAAGTTGCTTTTCTGTTTCTCTAATCATATCTGTTCCTCTCCCAGATGGGGTCCTTTGGGCTCCTGCGTCAGTCGTCTGGCTGTTTAGAAAGGTTCCTTTGACCCTGGTTTGGGGCTGTGAGGCCCTTGTGCTTGCTCTCAAACACACTGTGTTGTTCTGAGCAGAAGTGAAGACCTGATGCTTGTTAATTGTCAGCAAGTTGTGTTACATTATCGTGTTAGTAGCCAGTTTACTTTTAAATTCTTGAGCAGAGTGACTCAGATACCAGAGCTCTGTGTGTAGACGTGCATCCGTGAAATGACTGGTCTTACCATGATAGACAGTCTTCCAGCTCTGGTTCTGGTTGATGCATTTCTCAAGAGTCTGGTGCAGACTCTTCTCCAGTAGTGTGCTGACCGCTCCAACAGAGCTTGAGGTACATCTTTCTCCCCCAGCGTTTCCCTTTTATTGCTTTAATTTTATTTTTTTTAAATCAGGGAACAATTTTATTTTGGTCCTAGGCCATCTCTAACATCCTTCTTCTATTATAGCTTCCAGTGAGCTCCAGTTAAAAGGAATTGCTTGCTTCTATCCTCTCCCTTTTTTTCCCCCCAAACAAGGAAGGACCTAAATCTATTTTTCAATTTAGTGATAATTTAAGGTGGGGACTGGAGGACACTGAGTAGTTAAATACCTTTGAACCCATCGAGAAATGTCATTTACACAGAAAGTGTTTGAAACCACAGGTCCGGAATCCAGAGAGCTGGAGTGAACATTCTTTTCATCTTTTTAAAAAAGAACTGTGTTTCAACACTTAAGTTTTCTGGGGTTTTTTTTGTGTCTAGATGTTTAAAATAGTTGGCTGATACTTAAAATTCTGTACTTAATCTTTTTAACTTTTTAGATTGTATGTTTTATAAGGGTACTGTGGCCCTTTTTAATTCTCTTCTGAATTATATGTCATTGTATCACTTTAAATGTATCACTTTAAATTGTGACTTGAGGGATAATTATTAATGATCTGAAAATATCTTGATGCTCAAAGCAAGACTTGCGTGAAGGTGAAGACTAAAAATGGCACTCTCAAAGGCTGTGATTGTGAAATAGATATATAAATGTTCCTAAAATTGGGAACTCTGATGAATTTCACTAAAGTCATTAGGAATAAAGAAGAATGGCTGACTTTTTGCCAGTCTTGGAGGTGGTGTTACTTGTACCATTCAGTTGAGCATTTGGACTCAGGTGAGCGTGCAAGTCACGAGCCTGTACTTGGACCTGTGGGGTCTTGAGCAGGTGCTTTCCTCTCCTGTCAGTTTCCACTTACATAAATTGGCTTCTTTGTTGGGTCATCATGAGGATCAACTGAGACAGCCCAGAAAAAGGTCTTAGCCTCAGCCTGGCTCAAGAAATATTGGCTACTAGCAATAATCTTACACAGTACTCTTCTTGACCTGCGAATGTTGGAAGTCTGACATGGAACATAGCCTCCTTGACATGTCAGGAAACGACCCAGGTTACCACAAGATGCAGTGTTAACCAACTCAGAGTCTGTTCATGCCTTGTTGACTTGCTTGTTTTTAATGAATCTAGGTAACTCCATTTCCAAGTACTGGATTTATAAATGGGTTTACGTCTCCAACCTTCAAACCCGCAGCATCTCCTCTGACTTCACTCAGACAGTACCCTCCGAGAAGCAGGCAAGTTCTGTGAGTGATTAAAATGCAGTTGTTTTTCCAGGGGTGGTAATAAGAGGTTGCTGCTATGTTGTATACTTTAAAAGCAAAGGAAAATAGAATGTGTTAAACCTTGGTAATCCTCACCATATGCACGAGTCACACTTACTAAGTAGAGAGGCTGTTTCTGACGCTCACTCCTGATATATTTGGTCCTAGTAATGTTCACCAGGGATAAAGCTACTTGCAGTGTAGAATTACATTCTGTGAGATTTAAACCCTAAAATGCATACCGTAGTGCCTACATAAAGGATGGCTTCTCTGCAGACAAAGGCATAGGGCAGCCTGCATCTCTGCGTGCCTGCTTTTAACTTGGGCCTGGACTGTAGCTAACAGAACACTGATACTTTATTTATAGATTTGCATTATCAGACATATTATGTGGTAACTGTTCTAAATAACATTTTTATATTTTTTCTAAATAGAAAGCAAATTTTAGCTTAGACATTCCTATATCGGCATGCTCGTTCTGTAACACTATGATCGTTTTTAACTGAGCATGTACGAACACTTTATTTATAGGAATCCTAGTAAGTCTCATCTACGCCATGCCATTCCCAGTGCAGAGAGGGGACCCGGGCTGTTAGAAAGTCCTTCGATATTTAACTTCACTGCGGATCGGCTACTCAACGGTGTCCGGAGCCCACAAACGAGGCCGACAGGCCAACCTAGAACACGGGTACAGAACCCTCCCACCTATGCTAAGAGAGACATTGGAACTGGGCGAGTGGAACAGAGCAGTCTGGAGTCCTCTCCTGGTTTGGGTAGAGGAAGGTGAGTTACACAGAATTTTTGTTGGACAGGTACTTGTGCTTATAAACTATTCCATTAATTTAGATGTGTTTTATAATCATTATTTTCAAATGCATCATAGAAAATCAGATTGAAAGCTGTAGCCATCAAAGGTTTTATATAGTTACTCAGAAGAGTTGGTTTTAGAGCAGAGACTTAAGTAGTTTTATTTCTTTTTTGTAATATAAAATTCTTCAATCAGATCACTAAATGGAGTTGAACCATGTTAGGTCACGGTCATTTGTGGAGAATTTGGAGCTCGACATATAGCAGACTCCATGCTCTGTGAGCCTCTGGTCTCACTTCGCATCCCCTCCTGCTGCTGCCTGGGTAGAGGGCCCGCGTGTTCCCAGCCTTGCTCATTTTCCAGCCAGCAGTGTCGCACAGTAGACAGGCAATGAGTTGTGTGGCCAGGCAGACCAGAGTTTAAATTCCATTTGTACTAAATTTGTTTATAAACACGGGCTGTTATGGTTAAGTGGTACCTGTTGGCCGTCTTTAGGGGAGAGTTAGCTCATTTCCATCCTTGATCCCACATTATCTGTGGTCATTACCCGGGGTTGTTAGCGTGCATCCTGACAGTGGGCTGTGTCTGCCCCCTTCTCACTTTTCCTTTGCTGCAGCTTGCTGTCTGCCTTCTGCCACTTATTCCTCCACTAGAGAGGTGGGCTTAGAAAAGATGGAGGTGGGTCATCATCCAAAAGATGGATGGGTGAGCGTCCAATTAGTGACATCTTGTCCACTGTTGACAGATGGAAGCTGGCTTATTAGTTTGTTCTCTCAGTGATTAGTTCAGTACGGGCTGTCAGGAAGGAAATCTCCTCTGATAATTAACTAGCTAGCGCTCAACTACCTAAGCTTTTTTTTTTTTTAACCTACTTTGAGAACTTAAGATGAAAATATTTCTGTGTTCTATACGGAATGTCCAGCACAGTGTCTGACATGCAGAAGCTCCAATAATGTTGGTTCCTCTGCCTTCCTGGCACGATATGTTTCCAGTGCAGTTTGGGAGTTTGAGGAGCCCAGAGGTCCATCACATTTGTGGTGGTTAAATCCACATGGTCAGCCTTGGTGGGGTTGTAGGATGGACTTAGAGTGACTGAAGGCAGCAGGCTGCAGGAGAACTGGTGCAGGACTGCACATCGTCAGGAAATTTGATAGAAAGTTGGTTTGACTGGTATTGGAGGGCTGAAAGGCAAAGGGGCACACCGAGGAAATACAGAGGAAGTGACTTCAGGAGGCAGCTGCCATTCGTGGGGCTGGGAGACAGTAGGCAAGTTTGGGGTTTTTAGACAAAGAGGCTTGGAGCAGGGTCTGCGGAGCTGAGGCCAGACCCTAAGGAAGGGCCGTGCCACCATGCTAGATGGTGCTGGTTGAGGGACAGTGCAGAAGAAGCACCACCAGGAAGACAAGTTCCTAGACCCTCCTCCTGTGGCATTCCCTGTTGGGAAACACTGGACAAGGAGTGTCCTGGCAGTGGGAAGATGAGTCCTGCAGAACACCACCCAGTGTCACAGAGGAGGGTGAAGGCAAATGTGCTGAGGAGCATTTAGTCAGCCAGCATGCCCGCCTCTGACCATGTAGTCACATGCAGTCCTCCCACAGCATTCGAAATTCCAAACAGCAGTAACGACTTTGTGCTTTTGCGCAACCAGTAGAGACTCCCACCTCAACAGTGTGCACCTGAGGACTGTGACCAGCACCAGTGAGACTGGAGAGAGCTCAGCCTACGCACCGGTCTACACCAGCTGCAAGGAACAGCCTGTCAGGGGAGCCCTGGTCAATACTGTCACCTGGCTCCTTCCTCTGTTCCTTGTGCCTTTTGTCTCCAGACAAGTCATCAGGTGTCCAGGGCTCTTCAGCTGAAGGGTGATGCCCGCCTTCTCTCCTGAAGGACCTGAGCCACAGTGGCCGTGCTACCCCCCAGGATGCCTATTTTTCTGGTTTTTGTTTCGTTTTCCAGTAACTTTGTCTCTTGGGCAATAAGGAGTCGTCGAAGGCACCCCAGGAAATCCCCTGGACTACACATGGCTCTCTTACCTGCCGTGTAACAGCAGCCCACAGGGCAGCCACCTAGCCAGGTTCAGTGTCAGGAAGAACCCCAGTTGAGCAGACAGCTATCTCTGTTATGTCACCTGATGGGAGCATTCCATTTTGGGGAACTAAGCCAGACCACCAAAATTCGAAGTGGTGGGCACAGGAACCAGAAATCATACTGGTGGAATATTGAGTGTGATAGTGAAGAGTCCCTCCCAATTCTGTTGTTTGGTGCCGGGGCCGTGTTTGCTGGTGTGGTCACATGCAAAGCATATGCTGCATCTCTTGAGTTAGGACCATCCTTTGAAGCTGTTGCCGGCCCCTCAGCCTTGCATCTGAGTCTTCCTCGGTGAAGCTGCTCCCTGGAGTGGGGCACACGCCACTCATGCTGTGGGATGGGTCTCAACAGCATTGCATGGGCACCATGGGGTGAAGGCAGTGTCTCCTTAGGGTCCACTGATAGGTGCCATCAAACCAGTGGCACGCAGAGCTTCTGCCTCCTCCAGGATAGAGAAGGACTGGCCCCCTGGGCCAGGCTGGGCACTGTCAGTAGTGGTAAGCAGGCTAGCCTTGGCATTGGGGTGCCCGAGTGTAACTACTATGCCCCTGGGCTGACGGGGAAGAGGCTGGACACCACCCCTTGTCACCCACTTGTTGGGGATCTCTTCTAAAGTGGATGGCTCCAACACAGATGTCTTCACAATGTCCCTTCCTTAAGTCTCCTCCCAAGGTCTCTTTATTGTCAGACTTTGAGTTCTTGTCTTCATGAGTCTCTCGTCTAGCCAGGTCTTTAGCTCCCCTGCTTGAGAACTAGTGTAAATCTGTACTTTCAGCCGTTTCTGTGTCCAGACATGGTGGACAGCGAATATGTTGCTTGAAGTTCTGCTCTCTGGGAAGATCCCCTTGCACACTGGCTCTTGGGAATGCTCCTTATTGGGGTGTGATGCCAAGGCGGTCGGCATGCTGTTCAGCCATCTGTAACCCAGGTCCAGAGCTCTCCCCTGGTCAGTGGTCAATAAATTTTCATTACCATTCTTTAACAGTTGACCTATATAGTTCACTATCAGATTTTATACATCTTGTCATTCTGACAGAATGGATATTCAAATATTTATGTGATAAATTCTAAATAGCCACTAGGATAATTCTTTTAATAAATGTTTTTATTTTATTTACGTATTTAGATATCAGTTTTAGTCCTTTATTATAAAATTTTTGTGTTTTGCTTGTACTTCCTCTTTTTTTCTGTTTTTGGTGGGGAAGATTTTCGCCCTAAGCTAACATCTGTTGCCAATCTTCCTCTCTCTCATTTTTTTCCCCTTTCCCAAAGCATCAGTGCATTGTTGTATATTCTAGTTTTAAGTGCTTCTAGTTCTTCTATGTGAGCCACTGCCACAGCATGGCTACTGACAGACAAGTGGTGTCATTCCACACCCAGGAACCAAACCCAGGCTGCTGAAGTGGAGTGCACTGAACTTTAATCACTAGGCCATCAGGGCTAACTCTGCTTGTACTTCTTAAGGTTGAGATTTTAGAATCGAAAATCATCTTCAAAAGAGTACAAAGTAATAAAGACAAGTATGTCTGCACATCCATATACTTGAGAAAATGTTCTGAGTGGAAAAAATTAATGGTCTTTTGCTTTCCTCTCCTCTAGGAAAAATTCCTTTGGTTACCGGAAGAAAAGGGAGGAAAAGTTTACAGTGAGTACATCAAGCCGATGTCATTTTTGCAAGACATTTCAATCTAGTTTATACTAAAGAAACATGGGATTTAATCAAATCAGTAAAGGTTAAGATGTGAGAAGGAGCTTTTCAAAAGACATTTTCTTTTAACATGATATCCATTAGGTAATAACCGACATTTTAGATGCTCTGAAGAGGGGAAGGTGGTGGCTAGTTGCCTGAGTGTTACTGCATAGTACCTATGTGTGCACGCACTGTGCAAATGATGCTGCCAAGAACATGCACACAGACTCTAGTCTCTCTACAGGTGTCCAGAGTTCTTTCTGGGTGGGTAACCATACACCATAAAATAACTGGACTCATGTAGGAATTAGTTCATTAATATTTTTCATTCAAAATGATTTACTTTGTACCCACAATGTAGAAAGCATTATTGCGTTCTGCTGTAGCCTATGCTCAGGACAAATGCAAAATTAAGTGATGGGTTTATGTGAGTGGGAAGTCCATGGGCGTACTCACGTCTGCTTGGGTTGATTAAACAGTTCCTCCTATGCATAATGCCTCCACAGGCTTTGATGGGGGTCATATGGTACGTTTCCACATGAAGTGGTGGGAGAACATCCTGGCAGAGTTACCAGGATTGGTGAAGACGCAGAAGGGAGAAAGTATGTTTCATGGACTTGCACATGGAGAATTCCCCACTTAGAAGACTGGCAAAGACCTTGAGAAAGTTCTTGGTCCAGTCCCTGAACCATTGGTATATGCTTTCTCATCACAAAAGAGAAAGTTTGTTTGTCTAGAACTTAGTACAAGTTAGTCATAAAGAAACACGCATAATCCTGCCTTATTGGTTACTTTAGCCTAGTTTTTGGTGAACCCTTTGGTAAGGCAGTTTACATCAGTTGATCCTAGTTGGAATTAATGAATTCCTGTAACATTTGGACTAACAAGACTAGCATCTGAATATCTCTTCAGATATTACTTACCTTACACAAGTTATTCCCATTGGTCACTACATCACCTTCAAAAGTGAAATTTTTTCCTGCTACCATCTTGATTCATTTTGTGTCCCTAATTCATGTGTTCATACCTGGGAGCCACCTAGAAGCCCAGGCACATGATGCAGGTATATGTATTAAAGAGACCACAGCTGTTACCACACTAGGCTCCTCTAATGACTTCAGCCTAGAGCTGGGCAACAAACGTATGGGCAGTTGGCTGAAGCCCGTAGGACCAGGGATGGGTTGCATGCCACCTAAAGCTGTTCTGATCCTAAGGAATGTTAGACACTGCCCTCAAGATGAGGCGTCATCTGTCGGCTTGCCATTTTGTGACTGCTGTGTCTGGGCAGCTACTGCCTGCCTCTTTTGTTCCTAAAGGTCGAGATTTAGTGAATTTTTAGTAAGTCTTTCTCCCTAGAAATGCTTATCATCTGGAAACCTGGGTTTCCCTCAGAAACATGCAGGTGTTTAAAATAAAGCATCTAAAAATTGGTTTGAGATTATGGTGTCTGCATAACCTAGAGCTGCGCTGAATTATAGGGAGTGTCCCACAGCCAAGTGGTTAACAAGTGCAGGCTTAGTTCTGAGGGCACCTAACTGAGCAAAATGAGGCTGAACTCCGGCACCTACACCCTAATAAAGAGAGAAACAGGTGGGGATGCCCAGAAGAGATGTGGAATTTGCCAGCTTGGGTCCATTTTTACCTTTAACCTGCTCTCACTTGAGTTCTGACAGATTTTCTCTGCATTCCACTTCTGTAGGGAAATAAGTTTCTGGGAAATGTTGGCCCTTTCAAGTTATGTGAGCCCCGTGAGGGCATTGCTTCTAGTCAGAGTAGCCCACCCCTCTCCCAGAAATACCTGTATTCCACCTGAACACAAACTCACTTCCCCCTCCTGTTCCTGACTCCTTCAGCCAAGAACTGGACACTTATAAAATGACTTCTAGCTTATTAAAGCAAGTTGATAGTTTTTCGATAAAACACGTATCACTGCCTTTCGCCCTAGATCTTGGGTTTATAAAGTACACTCAGATATTATGCTGAGTCTACCTGAAGTCAGGGAATGTCTTATCAAATACCGTGTTTCTACATAGTGATTTAAACATATAAAGGGTTTCAGTAAGTTAATTTTCAGATAACTTGAAGACTCTTTTTTTGTTAAACCATTTTTTTAATGGAAATCTTTGTAAAGTTGAGAGAGTGGCACTTTTTTCTCTTACTGTCTCCTCCATGACTTAGATTACAAGCTATTCTGTGATAACATGAAACTTGTCTGGAGATGACTGAGTTAATGTCTGGACTCGGGCTCTTCTGATTTGTGAGCAGTGGGGTTGAGTGACTTTACAGCATCTCCCCTGTCTGTGGCTGTCACTTTGCTGCTATCAGCTGCACACTTGGGTCCTACCAGGCCTTTGTCGGCTGATGGTGGTCCAGGGGCTGCAGGGTCTTGTGGTCGTAGAGAAGCAGCTCCATTGCAGTGTGCTGGATCATGGCTGGCAGCAGCCTGAGGTCTCACCTTTACAGCTCTTCTTCTGATGAAGGAGATGAAGTGTTTGTATGTTTGGAACATCTGTCTGCCTTTTCAGATGGATGCAGAAATGAGAAGGCTGGAGAGCAGGTTCTTGGCCTTAGCCTTCTGCTGTATTTCTTAGTTCTGCACTGTGTGTCTACACTTGGGCAACTTTATGGGTGTTCTTCTCTTTCAGAGGAGTCAAACTCAGTCTCCAACGCCACCAAAGCCTCCGTCTCCGAGCTTCGAATTAGGGCTGTCCAACTTCCCCCCACTGCCTGGGGCAGCAGGCCACTTGAAGACAGAGGACTTGTCTAGCTTGCTAATAGGATCATCAAAAGAAAGGGTAAGATACGTATCACAGGCCTAACAGTCACTGACGTTTGCTGAGTGCTGATTCGTGCCTGGCACCTTGCTGAGCTCTTTACATACATAATATTCTTCATACTCAGAAGAGGTTCAGAGAGGTTAAGTGATTTGCACAGGTCACACAGATTTTGAGTGGACCCTCTTAGTTGCCTGTCTGCCAGGGTAAGAGGTGGAAACCTGTGCTGTGGCATGCTATACAGATGCTTTCTCTCACCCTGGAAACTCAGATTGCACTTATATTGTTGTTATTCAGGACTTGCCATTATTTTACAAGTCAGCAGAATAAAACAGAGAAATCTGGATTGTACCAGAAGTAATACAGTTTTTGGTAACCTACATGAATAACAAGGAGCCCGGAATAACTTTACTCTAATACTGGTGGTTTTGGGTGAATTCTCTAGGCTGCTAAATGAGTTGTTTTCACTCTTCTGCAGTGATGACAATCCCAAGAATCAGCTTGAGCTACAGAAGCCAGAGGGTGTGAGTTCCAGTGCTCCTTCTGGGTTCTGCTGTAGTTGACGAGTTAAGGAGGGATTTGTCCTGCTGCCAGGAGTGCTGTTGATGGCTCTGTCGGTTCTTAGCCAGGCAGAGGTGCCCTGCAATGCCGTGTTGAGCTGAGGCGGGGAGAATGTGTCCCCGGGCGAGTTCTCAGCGTGGCTGCACACCACAGTCGCCCTTTGTCTTTTTCCACTGGAAATCCACCACCACCCTGCCCGCTACCCTCAGATCTCAGGGATCAGAATCCTCTCACCTCTGGATTGGAAAGGCACACACTGCAGCTGCAGCCAGACCGTCTACACTCAGAGAGCACCATGAAGCCCTCAGGCACCAGGCCAGGGCTCACGGTGAGATTTATAAAGCCAGGGGTTTAGTCCTCTTTATCCTCCCACACAATGCAGCTGTGGTCTACGTTCCAGCATGTCAGGACCCAACATCCTGGATTAAATGAGCTTTTACAAAAAGATATTTTCCATTCCCACCAACCTTGAGCATGAAATCTTGAAAGATCGTGGTTCTCACGGAGGGCCTCTTGTCTCTGGTCACCCCCGTTGAGGACAGGTGTAGAGGTAGTGCCATTCCATACATCTCGCTCCCTCCAGAAGCTCTCGTTTCAGTTCATTTCTGAACTTACCTGCTTTGAAAAGTACAATTTTAAGACAATGTCTTTTTGCACTTAATCACACTTCCAATTATTTATTTGCTCTCCTGCCTTTTTTGTTAGTTACACAACATGAAGAAGACTGTGCATATGTGAGCTATCTCTGCACATCAGGGTCACCGGCCTGAGTAAGAACATCTAGTGTTAGTCAGGTCTTTGCCTCATTGCTGTGGACAAATAAACATTCTCAGCCTCACTTTCCTCGCCTGTTAAACTGGGAGAGTTAACACACCTGCTTCTAGGGTTTCTGGGGAATTCAGGTGAGAACTGCTGTCAGCACCTCCTGCCCACCTCAAGGTACTCAAATTTATGTCAGTATGGAGGCGTTGATCTTTTGGATTTTAGTTATAAGACTGAGTCATTGAATTGTGTTAGGAGCTCTACATTTAACAGATATTTGGGTGTTATATGCCAGACTGTACTAGGCGCTGGGATATCAGATGGATAAGATGTTTTTGATGCGTATTCAATTAAGAAAACAAATTTGCTGCTAATTATGATAGAAGCACGGAAGAAAGGGCCTGAGATGTCAGGGAAGACGGGTGAGGGCTCTGTAGGCAGGACAGACTTGGGGTGGTTTCCTTGTACAGCCAGTGTTTGCCAGCTCTGCTCTCCTCTGCAGGGTCCACTCAGTCAGCACCCGGCACAGCCGCCCCTCCACCCCCAGGAGGAAGGTGGGAAGCCATCAGATTGTTGCCATCATTGGTGTATTTAAGATGATTATGACAAAGAGCTGACAAATGCTTCTCTACACAAATATAACTGTTATTCCGATGATTTTCAGAGCCTCAATGCGGATGCAAGCACGAACACTCCTCCCGCAGTGACCCCCCGAGAGCCCTCAGTGCCAGCCCCCTGCACTGTGTCGGCAGCCTGTGCGCGCTCCCCTTCCCCCACCCACCTACCCGAGTAAGTAGCTGCCTTCTGTCACACTTCCATGTTGACTGATTGAAATTGCTCCCCAGTGTGCAGGAGATTCAAATATTGGGTGGCATTTTTACAGGGATCCCAAGGTGGTCGAGAAGCAGAGGGAAACCCCAAGTATGGACAGACTTCCTTCTACCCTGACTACAACTGCAAGTAAATCGGTGCAGGTGAACGGCGCTGCCACGGTACGTGCCCCGACCACCTCCCGCCACCCCACAGAGGCTCTCCGTGTGGGAGAAAGACAGAGCTCCTTCTCTGCATCAGCTTATTCTCAGTAAAATCAAATTTGATGGGTTTTTACTTGTGTGTGTGCTGTTGTGCTTTCTGTACAGAATACCTTGGATCTTTGCTATTAATTTTCACCTTACTGCCTGGTTATTTCTCGTTACACAGCCATGGTGTCTTTATTTCAGTGCCACTAGAGCACAGTTCTCTTTTTGAGTAGTCAGAAGATGCCAGCTCCTGTTCTCTGTAGGACTTGTGGTCGTGTAGCGTGTGCTGTCAGTAGCAGACACTGAGGACAGACAGGCACAGCCCTGCCCTCCCGCTCCTGTGGGGCCGCTCCCTCCCCGCGTGGGCCTGCGCACTACTCCAGCCCTCTCCTCTCCTTCCCTCAGGGGCCAGTCCGCATCTCTATTCTGATTTGTGTTCTCCTCAGTTTGATCTCCGTGAGCTTTGTCGTTTCGTTTGGGAGTTAAACCTTTACTGTCCACCAGGTTGACTCTTTAAAGAAAAACATTTTTTTAGGTTAAAAAATTATTTTTAAGTTAGCAAATGGCTTATGCAGGTGAAATAGTTTTTACTATTCTGTTTTCTTCGGTCATTTAATCTTCATGCTTCTACTTACCCAAAAACCCTATTAATTTTTTTTAAGTTTTTAACTCTGTCTTCACCTTTCCTGAACCCCCATCTCCAGCCCTCTGTAGTTTTCAGATGTGCCCAAAAATTTTTCAAAGATGATTTTTGAAGTTCACCTTAAGTGATGGGCTGTGCCTTTCTCTAGCATTCCAGGAAACCTGGGCTGTGCTGAGTGGCAGTGTGTGTGGAAGGAAGCAAGGGCAGAGAAAGCAGATGTTGCCTTTTCTGGGGATTTCTGGTGTTCTTAGGCCTCCTTCCAGGCTTCCATGAGGCTCAGCAATCCGTAAAGGTCAAACGTTGGGAAGAGTTCAGTCAGCACTTTACATATCAATACCACCTCTAGTTGCAGCCTTTTTGTACAAGATATTTCTAGAGTATCTTGGAAGGAAAGTTGTACTGCAAGGGAAACAAAATTTTGTTGAAACTTATGACCTTTTTAAAAGTCAGAATACTCTGAATGTGGAGATCTGGTTACGGTTGAGAACTTGTTTACTTTTACCTTAAGTGAACTTTATTTTCACATGTTGTCACTGGAGACGTCATTTTATGCATGTCATCCCAGAGTTATGTCTGTTTCCCAGGAATTGCGAAAACCCAGCTATGCGGAGATTTGTCAGAGGACGAGTAGAGAGCCTCCGGTGTCCCCGTTGCAACCCCAAAAAGAACAAAAGCCAAACACTGTCGGTTGTGGGAAGGAAGAAAAGAAGCTTCCTGAGAGAGAGCCCCCTACCCCCAAGTCCAACCCGGGACCACCCAAAGACCAGAGGAGGCCGCCGGGCCGCCGGCCTTCGCCACCGGCCACAGGGAAGCGTCCACACAGAGAACAGAGCACCCCTCCCAAGTCCCCCCAGTGAGCGCCGAGGGCTGGGAGGGCTGCGAGGAGTTGAGGTCGCCACAACTAAGCACTGTCCCACTCGGGACCGAGAATGAGCCGCTGGTTAGGAGCTTGCAGTGGAGAGGAGGCCATGAGATGCCTGCAAGTTATTTTTCTTCTATGAGTCGGATTTTCCCCCTCTTGAAAAAAATCTATTTTTCAGGATTTAATTAATATAAACCTTATTTTAGGTTGGTGCTTAACTGGAGGTGATGCATAAGTCTGATTTTTTTCAGGATAGAAAATGCATTTATCCTAACAAATTGATATTTTTTATTAAGCCTCCATGTGGCTATGAATGCAAGCTATATATAGTGAGTTTTTCTAAATTAAGCGGAACTATGCTACTTCGTTTTTTAAAATAACTGGTTAGCAAGTGCATATCTCTAAGATGTCCATACCGACAGGTGAAGCTGAGGACAGTGGGATTGAGGGCATGAGGCGACGCTGTAAGTGGAGCCTGGAGAAGGCATAGGGTCAGATCGAGTCACACCCTGGCCTGGGAGTTATACTTTCATTCAGAATCCTAACAAGTGATTCTAGCATTTTTTTTTTTAAAGAGTATAGCCCGTTTTTGATCTATGGGGCAAAATGAGCCTGCAGAGAGCACCCAAGAGAGCCTTGAAACCTCAAGTTTGATGTACTGCAAGCAGTAACCAGCTTCTCACTCCAGTCTCAAGTGGCTATTATGTAAGATAAATTCAAAGCACAGTGTGAATAGAATTAAATGAAAACATAAACTTTGCTGCCCACTGACATGTTATCACAAAGTTGTACCCTGATGTTGTCTTGCTCCCACGAGCTAGCAGGGAGGATGTGGGAGCCACGGTGGCTCCTGCGTCTCCCCCATGTTAGTCAGCTCCCGTGGGCACCTTCCCGTACCTCTGAATCGGCACGCAGACCGAGACGTTGCATAACTGTGAGAGAATGGTATTTGTGGTGCCCCTTTGGTGGTGGAGGATGAAAACTCCCGCTCTCTTTACCTCCAAGACGAGGGTCTCATTGAGTCCTCCTGGGTGTGCTGGGCTCGGAAGAACACGCATGCACTGAAGCTAGCAGTTTATAATAAAGTTAAATACAAATTATTTTGTTTTAAAATGCCTAAATTTTTTCTTTGAGTATTCTAAGCAGCAGACGTTAAAATAAGACTATTTCCTGCTAAATGTAACCATACAGTTTATTCCACAAAATGTTATTTAATAAGACTGAGGATTTTTTTAAAAAAATTATTTCCATCCAATATTTAAAGACTTGAATTTTATTTAAACTTGAAAATGACTTTGCCTTAACTTTTGTATAAGACAGCATAGAGTTGATGGAGACCGGCCCCTGGGTTGGCATGAGTCGAGTACAGAGTTACTCAGTTACGTGGGATCTGCTGGCGCTAGTTTTACTGAGTAAGCATACGGTAGTGTGAGAACTAGCAGCATTGTTTGTAATATACCTTGAAGATCTTAAACAGTTGACCTTTTTCAGATTGTTGAAAGCCCTGTAAATGCGGATAGTCGATACTGTATTAAATATGTGCACTTGGAGTGTGTGCTTTGCCTGTACAGTTGTAAATAATCAGAACATATTAAAAAGGTACCCTAAAGAGAAAATCTGATAAAAATTATTGATATATTATAAATGTTGCTATTGAGCTGGATGTAGATAAACTAAATGTTGTGGTTTGAATATTATTTTAATTTGTTGAGGTTTTTTCCTTTTTCTCCTATGCCGGTGTGTTGAACTGATTCTGCCTCTTTGCTGCTGCAAAAGGGAAATGGAAAGTCTTATTAAAGCCTTCAGATGTCTCCATGCTCTTCTTAAAAGTATGTAAATATGTACTAATCATAGCTGATGTGAAAGGGTTTTGAAGTATAATATTGAAAGCAGACACTTGCAGGGTCTGCAAGGGAAAGTAAAAATAATCTACTGCTTAAATCTGGAATAGCTGAGTATGATTTCCCCTGCCAGAGGGAAAGGCGCCCTGGTGCATTTGACCATCTCCTTCATTCAGTACCTAGAAATACACACAGTGCTAATAGTTTACAAATGCTGGTAAAAGGAAAATGGGACTTTACTTCTTTGTAGTTGTCAGACTGCTGACTAAAACATCAGGAATAACTGACCTCTTACACCCAAACTGATGAGTACTGTATACAGCGTTGGAAGGGCATGCTCCAAGCCCTAGGAATTCCTTAATGTCGCAGTCTTTGCTGGAAGAGGGAGCGGATGTTGTCAGCCATCATCATCCCCCAAATCACAAACCCTGTGGAGCTGAGACACTGGTTCTCAATGATGACAAATCCTTTCCCTGGAGGCAGGTGTGTGCTAGAGCCAGCTGTAGCGATCTGCTCTTTGTTGGCAGACAGCATGACGGTGGGCCCCTGAGGTAGCAGCCAATCGTGTGGCAGGCGGTGCCTGAGAGGCGCAGGGTGGATTCTGCTGCGTCCCTGCTGGCTCAGTGTGCTGTGTTTACTGCTCCTGCAGCCAGTCTGTTGCATCGAGAGTTGAAACCTCGCTCTGATGTGATTTTTATAGCATCCTTTTTAATTAAGCAAAGGTAATATGCCAAATACTTCTATAATGTCTACAACACGACCTTTCTGACATTGCTCTGAGATGTCCCTTCACAGAAAGGAATGGGAGTTCACAACGGGAAGCTGTGATACGGCACACAGACAGCGGCTCCATCACACGCAGCCAGTAGTGTGTGGCTTTCGTACATTTTTTAAAATTTAACTCTTTCCTTTCCCCCAGCAGTATCTCAAGGTATAGAATCAGATGCAGCAATCACAAATGACATTTTAACTTGTAAAATTGTGAGGTGATGCTTGTCATCTGGAAATATGAGAATCTGGCTTTTTTCACTAGACATGAATTTCAAGTAGAATAGTTCCTTTTTAAGAGTTAGTGTCATGATGTTTCTGATCAGCCCTTCCTGTAATCACATCACTGGTTGTCATTAGCAGGTGGCAAAAGATGTTTTATGTTGCTGCGTTAGTCAGGACCGCTGCAGTTTACATTTAAAAACTGGCTCAGTTTCTGCAAGGGCGGCAGGTGAGGAAGGTGCGTGCCTGTCTTTGTACCAGCCGTCAGTGTGCTCTAGTTAGGGTCCATGTACTTCAAGGCCTCTTACCCAGAAAGCAGCAGACAATCGAAGACGGAAGGAGAGCCAACAGCTGCCAATTCACACAACGCAAGTGTAATGTGGAAGCTTTCTTGAAGGTTTTTGTTTTTGTTCTAATTCTTTTCATTAAGACTGGAATCAAGCTTACATGTAAACTATTGGTAATTTAAGTTTCCTTTTGTGTCATTCAGTGTAAAACTGTCTAATTTGAAAAAAAATGTAGGTTATGAAAAATAAAGATTTAGGCACTGTTCAATTTTTCTTTTGATTTTTTTAATTAAAATTTTCTTCAAGAATGCATCTTTTTTAAAAATAGTTTTTTGTCTCTTCCCATCAGTGTACATGAGAGTGAAATGCAGGTTGCCTTGGCCTGTGTTTGGATTATGGCTTCTCGACACACGTGTGAGTTATGTCGCATTAGGGCTTTTCCCTGGTCGGCTTAGTGCTCTGAGGTGTTCAGAGTGAGCATTAAAATCAAGATTCACAAGGAAACAGTTCATTAGTCCAAGATTTACCACAAGAATAAAGATCCCTGTGTCAGGATCTTTTGTTTCTTATGTTAAATGGCCTTGTCTCGTGAGATGTCTCCATAAAGTCACTTGGAGTTGTTGTTGGGTCATGGTGGTTTTCAGATCACAAATGAGCCTCAAAACAAACTAATTGACTTATTCCTAAATAATCATGATGCCAACACTAGTAAAAGGCTGAAGATGGATCAAACTTATTAGTATATTATAAATTTAGTGGACAGATGGTCCGATTAGATATTAATTGCCTGATTTTCCTTTTCTATGAATTGCCTGTTCATATCCTATTCCCATTTTTCTACTGGGTTATCTTTTTCTTATTGACTTGGTATCCTTTATCTGTTCTCACTATCAGTCCTTTGTTATGTATGTTACAAATATTTTCTCTCAATCTCTACCAGTTGTCTTAACTTTATTTGGAGTACCTTTTATCTTACAGTTTTTAATTATCATGTAGTAAAATTTATCAGTCTTCTCCTTTATGGTTTGAGTGTCTTGGTCTTGTTTATGAAGTCTTTCCCTGCTCCGGAGTCACAAAGGTAATCTCCTTTTATGTCTATATATGTCTTCAGTCCATCTGGAATTGATTGATTTGTATGTGCGTGTATGGTCTGAGGTAAGAACCCAGTTTTATTTTTTGCCACATGGAAAATTTCTTTTTCTCATATCACTTACTAATTAGTTTATTATTTTTCTACTGATGTGTAATGCCACTCTTGTTACTTACAGAGTTCCCACATATGCAGGCATCTTTAGCTAGTCTCTCTCTTCTGTACTGTTTGTAGTTCTGTTTCCTTGCTGACGCCATAGAATTTCATTCTCCATTCCTAAGAATTTCGTTCATAGAACTCATCACAGTGATAATTAAGTGTGCTCAGTGAAGGCAGGAATTAAGTCCATCCTGATCACCATTGTATCCCCTGTACTTCCTACACTGTCTGCAACATAGTAGGTGCTCAATAAATATTTGTTAAATTAAAGAAATACTTATTGAGTATGTATTCTCCATGCACAGCGCTGCCCTAGGAAATTCAGCGAGAAATAGGGTGATGTGTTGATTTGCTGTTTCCACATAACCACCCCAAAACTCAGTGGCTTAAAATGACAGTTAGGCATTGAGAGACTGATGGAGGCTTGGCTCCCCGGCCCTGCTGGCATTGCGCTGCACTTGGTCACAGGGGTGTACCTTGGCTGGTCTGGACCCAGGCCTGTTCTGGGGGATGTGGGGTCTTACCCAGTTTATCACCATGTGCGCCTCATCTTTGGGCCAGCAGGCTGGCCAAGGCGTGTTCTTCCATGCCTGTGGGAGTGGTTCAAGAGCCGAACCCCAAATATTTAAATTTCCCCACAAGAAATTGAAATTGTTGCATTTCATTCCTTCGTATATCCACATATGTTACTAATGTTAAAATGCTATGTTTATCTAAATCATTAGATAAAACTGACAGTTGAAGAAGCACCACCAGCAGATGGTCATGTATTGCCAAGCCTGATGGGCTGTGAGCCATTGCTAATCCAAGTGAACTGATGGTCTGCTTAGATTGGGATGTAGGTGGGGCTTTATTTCCCCTTTAACATCCTGTATTCCAAGTTCACCATGGAGAGGCGGGAGAGGTGAGACAGTAAGTCAGAGAAAGACAGGCATGGCAAGAGGATTTAGGTGACTTTCACAAAGACCTCCCCACTCAGCTTCATTGTTTGTGGAACCAGAGAGACCGTGGGGCACAGCCAACACTTTGAGTGCTCAGCTGGGTGGACCTGGCCCCTGTCCTCCACAGCAGGAGTCTGGACAGTCTGGGTGGTCCTGCTCTGAGCTGAAATATGATGAAGGTGTCACAAGGGAAGGATGGTTGGCTGGACCCAGGGGGTCGGGATAGCTTTACAGAGGAGGCTACCTGTTAGGTGCATCTGAAACTGACTAAGGGAGGAAAGGGTTTCCATGGCAGGGGAAGAATGAACACTAGGCCCCAGGGACTGACAATTGAGCGTCCAAGAGATGGAGATTCCCTGTCAGCACTTGTCCCCTGCATGGCAAGGGCCTCCAATCCAGTTCATCTGAGACCAGGTTTTCTTTTCAGTCATGGCGGCCACCTTGCATAGCTAAAACTCATTATTTGTTTATTGAACAGTTGTATGCCTCTGTGTGTGTTTATCATGCAGGGTGTGAAAGCTCTCTAGAACATTCACAAGCAAAGTGGGTCCATTCTGAGGGTGGCTGGTGAGGCAGCAGCACTATGGCTTAACTACCCCATGCGAAGAGGGCTCTGCACTTCTGCCACGGCCATAGGAAGAGTACTTGCTTAAAAAAAAACAACAGATTTCTGGCACCATTTCAGCCCTTCTGAACCAGGAACTACAGCTGCAAGGCCCAGAGATCTGTTAAGACCCAAATGACTGTGATTGGACAAGTTTGGGATCGACTGAACAGACGAAGATCTAGCTATACCTGTCCTGGGCCTCCCAGCAGCCACAGACACTGAGAAGGGCCCTCCCCTGTGACCTGCGATGCATCCCCACACCAAAAGATGAGGTTCACCATGGCTTCCTCTAAGGCATTGAGTTGTGAGAGATTGAAAGCTAGGTGGCTGGCCATGGGAAACATGGCTGAGATTGCCAGGGAGGCCAGTGGCCCGCAAGGCTGAGAACAGCCCGTCATAGAGCTTTCACTTCCATTCCACACAGCCTTAAAATAAATCCTGTTGTTCTTTAGTCGCCTGGAGTGACTCTCTGTCTCTCTCCTTTTCAGCCAGAAGAGCCAAACTAAACATCAAGAAAACACAACCAGGGATGTCGGCTATTAGAGCTGGCTGCCAAGGCTTGCCCACAGGGGACTCCAGGTCCTGGCACTCGGGGCCAGGCAGCAGCTAAGCTCCCAGCTGCCTCTCTTTTTACCCACTCAAGTGCCTGGCTTAAGGGACCCAGTGCAGAGAGTGGCAAAGGAAGTTTCCCAGCACTTAGCAGCTGGGATTAACTGGGAACCAGAAATGCTAGGAGTCAGAGCCTTGACCTTCTCCTGCGGGGCTGCTGTACAGCCCTGTGCCCAACACCACTGAAACCACACCAAGAAAAACTTTATCTTGGGAAGAGGTTCCAAATTCGCATGAGCCTAACCCATCCCTGCTACGAACATGGGGCTCAGGGTGGGAGGAGAGGAGTGCCGAATCGAGTTGTTGCCGAGGATGTAGGAGTGGTCACTCGGCACACCAGCTGCTGTGGAGAATGATGGTCAAAAGGTGCTTTTGGTTCATAGGCAGTTCAGTTACCAGAGAAAAAGCAAGCAGCCCCCACAGAAACCCCAGAACTAGTGCCCAAGTCAGGTTGGCACAGCTGGAACTTGCCAATCCTTTATTTTTTCCTTCGTTCTGCTTGCTTTGGGTTTATTTTTGCTCTTGAGAAAAGAATGTAAGATGACTGATTTAAGATCTTTTCTAATGTAAGCATGTAGTGCTCTAAGTTTCCGTCTTCAACTACATCTCAGTTCTACATATTTTTAAATTTTTCTTTGAGATTTCTTCTTTGAACCATGGATTATTTAGAAGTGTGTTGTTTAGTTTCCAAGTGTTTGGAGGTTTTTCTGTGGTCTTTTGCTGGTTTCTAGTTTGCTTCCGTTGTGGTCACAGGACACACTATGATCTCAGTCTTCTTGAATGTGTTTTGTGACCCTGGATGTGGTCTGCCTTGGTGAATATTCCATGGGCACTTAGACGTGTCATGGACAGTACGTGCTTCAGCATGCATAAATGTCAGGCAGATCCTCATGGTTGAGGGTGGTGTTCAGTTCTACATCCTTGCTGCTTTCTGACTAGTTCTCTCAATTGCATCTCCAACTGTAGTAATAGATTTATCTATGTTTTACTCTTTCTCATTCCAGCTCAGTGAGTTTTTGCTTTGTGTATTTTGAAGCTCTGTTGTTTGGCGCCTGCACTTTTAGGATTGATGTGCCTTCTTGTGGGATCCATGCTTTTATCATTTGGTAATCTCTCTCTTGGTCCTTAGTAATTGTCTTTGCTCTGAAGTTTTGCTGTATTTGACCCATTCCTGTTCTTCTTTTCCCTTAATGTTTGAGATGCACTTTTCCCATCTTTACTTTTCAACAAAACTGCCTCTGTTGTCATATCTGGAGTGAGTTGCTTGTAAACAGCAGACAGTTGGGTGTTGTTTTTTAATCTACTTGGTCAATCTGTCTTTTATCTTGTGTGGATAGGCCATTTACACTTAAAGTAACTATTGATATGTTGTGGCATATGTCTGCCATTTTATTACTTGTTTTCCATTTGCTCCCTCTGTTTCTTGTTCCTCTGTTTCTTTTTTTTTTTTTTTTTTCCTTCCTGAGGGTTATAATTTGCTGGTTTTGTTTTTTTTAAGGAAGATTGGCCCTGAGCTAACATCTGTTGCCAGTCTTTCCTCTTTTTGTTTTTTGTCTCCCCAGTGCCCTAGTACATAGTTGTACATCCTAGTTGTGAGTCATTCTTGTTCCTCCATGTGGGATGCTGCCAAGCAAAGCTGATGAACAGTGTGTAGGTCCAGGATCTGAACCGGCGAACCCTGGGCCGCCGAACCGGAGCGCGCAACCTTAACCACTCAGCCGGCCCTTAATTTGCTGATTCTTAAGTCCCAGATCAGGAGTTGTTTTTAAAAAAAAGTCAGCTCTGTATGCCTGAAGGTGCATTTGCCAGAGTGGGCTCTGCAACACTGCAGCCTCACACAGGGATCCTCTCCTCACAGATCA